GTGGTCCCTGTTTGTTTTAATTTTGTTTTGAGACGGGTTCTCGTTGTATGCCCAACTGACCTGGAACTCACTATGTAGACCAGGCTGGCCTTGATTGCACCTGCCACTGTCTCCCCAGTGCTGGGATTAAAGGAGTGCACCACCATGCTGATCTTGGGAGATTTCTTTCTTATGTTTTATAGTTTTCTTTGCCGACATTTTCTTCCGTACATTTTTATGTTTATACTTAAGTATTTTAAAGGCTTTTATGAATAGGATTGTTTTCTTTTAAGAATAGGATTGGTATCTTTCTCAGTGCAACCAATACTGGTATATAGAAAATATATTCATTTTTTATATGAATTCTGTACTGGATACTATGCCATAATTGATAACTTTAAAAGACTTCTGGTAGAGTCATTGGGGATTTTTAGGTACAAAATTATAGACAACTTAGGAGAATTTAACTGTACTTTGTTATTTGTTTCTCTCCTTTTTCCCCTTTTGCCTTATTGCTTTAGAAAATATTTCAAGCAAAATATTACATATAGTGATGACAGTGGGCACTCTTGTCGGAGGAAATGCTTACAGTTTTCCTCCCTTCAGTACAATATTAGATATTAGTTTGTCCTATATAACTGAGGTACATTAAGGCCTTTTTTCATGTAGGGATGTTGAATTTTGTCAAAGGCTTGTTCTACATCCATTGACATGGCCATGTGCTTTTTGTCCTTGAGATTAATTATGTGCTGAATTATATTGGTCAATTTGTATATGTTGGGTCAATATGACAACCCATAATGAAACCATCTTTATCTTGCTATATAATCTTTTAAAATGTATTGTTCAAGGGGCTGGAGAGATGGCTCAGCGGTTAAGAACACTGGTTTTTCTTGCAGAAGACCCGGGTTTATGGCAGCTAACAATTGTCCGTAACTCCAGTTGCAGGGGATCCGACAGCCTCTTTCTCCTCCGCAGGCATTGCACGACACAGGTGCACTTACCTACATGCAGGCAATACACACATACACATAAAATAAAATTAATAAATAAAATTATAAAAAAGTTTAAAAAATGTATTGTTCAATTTAGCTTGCTAGGTTTTATTGCATACTTTTGTATCTATATCTATTGAGGAAATTGTTTTAGAATATTCTTTTTTTATTGTGTTGTTCCTACTCACTGGAGGCATCAGTACTGGCATTATAGAGTCAACTTGTCAGGATTCCTTCCCTTTCTATTCAGAGGATACTTTGAAAAAAATACTAGTTTTTCTTTAAAAATCTTGTAGATTTCACAGGGTATGTTGAGGCACATCTTTAATCCCAGCGCTTGGGAGGCAAAGACAGAACCCTCTGAGTTTGAGGCCAGGGTCTAACCATCAAGTAACATGCCAGCCAGGGTTAAAAAGTGAGACCCTTTCTCAAAACAACAACAAAATCTTGTATCATCCATCAGTGAACCCATACAGTCCTGGGCACTTCTTGTTGTAGGAAGACTATTTGAGGGTATCTGGAATCCTTCCCCACCTCAGACTGCTGTACTGAGTTCCTTTTCCTGAGACTTCCCCATGCTCTGCCAACTCAGCTCTCAAGCCTTTCTGGGTCACTGGGATCTTTGTTACGGAAAAAAAAAAAAAAAAAAAAAAAAAAAAAAAAGGAGAAAGAAAGCCCAGATTAGATTGATAATACAAGGCCCATTTTGGGATTGCCCACAAACCTGGAATCCATCGGAAGAGTCAGGTAGAGGTGAGGAAGGGCTAGAAGTGGTGGAAGATGCCACTTGAGTTTGCCCTTTGGTACAGAGAAAGAAAAAATCCATGATTTAGCGTGAAGATGGGTCTTAACAATTGTATTGTGGCCATGGTAATCAGAGAAAATTCTGCAGTGGAGTTGCTGGAATTAGGAAAAGGCTTTAAACAAGCAATGAATTTCTCACATCCTGGCCCATGAAGCTGTGGGGTAGGGAGGCAAATGCAATTGAGAGTTGGGGAAGCAGAGGAAGTGAGTGATAAAAAACAACAACAACAACAACAAAACATACCTCCTTGAGACACA